ATGCCATGGGGAAAAACCCATGAGAAAAGACAGTTCAAATACTAGTTCACTTTATAACAACGCAAGTATGTATCATAGGACACAAACTAAATATTATTTCCTCAGACTTGTAAGTCTTCCTCTGCAATCTGAGGCACCTCATATCAGCTATATTCCAAGACATTTAGTCATATGCTAAATCCAATCTCCATCACACTTCAAACTTGCTATGTTGTCACACAGGACAACAGTAACAAACTAGGAATTTCCATTTCATTTTTCAGTGCTTCAACATCAGTTAAGTTTGTACATTAAGAAAAAATGTAAATACAATTTTATATCTTTTATCAGCAGACTCATAGAGAAAAATAAAATTACAAAGATGTTAAGTCAGTGACACCTCCCTGACAAAATATAAGTAACTAAAGCCAAACATCATTTTAAATTACACATTTCAGCAGATACAACCAGGGATGTTGGAAGAACAAAGCAGATATAAATGTTGTGGTTGCAATTAACATAAAAGCTACATACTCAAACTACTATAAGGCGCTAATTAATAACCTATATCAGAATCACAGTATCAGAGAATCTCAACTTGGAAGAACATTTAGTCTAATCAATACCTGAACAAAAATTCCCAATACAGGGTCAGCTAGGTGTCGCAGTGGATAGAGCACTGGCCCTGAAGTCAGGAGGACCTGAGTTCAAATCCAACCTTAAACCAAACACTTGACATGAGCTGTGTGACTCTGGGCAAGCCCAACTGCTTAAAAAAAAATTTCCTAATACTACGTACCCAAGTAGTGGTAATCCAACTTTTCCATGAAGACCTCCAGTAGAGTAACCTACTACCTCTCTAGTAATATTGATTCCTGCCTACAGGGTAAATCTGGTGATATAACAGCACACACATTATATTGTGCCTAGCTTTCCTGCCAGTCCCTCAACAAGGAAATATTTTACTTTATTTTCCTAGTAACTTAACCAGGAAGCATCAATTAATGCATTTTTTTTAAATTAATATAAGAAGACTGCAAGATGTGGAGAGAAAGAATCCCAGTTCTACTGCTCACTATCTGGATGACCTTTCTAGGCCTGTTTCCTCATCTGTAAAATCTGAGGGTTGTACTTGATAATAAATCTATGATCCTAAAATACTAAATCTGAACATCTGAGTATTTCCAAATAATTGAAAATACTATTAATAGATACTGGTTTAGCAAGTTCAAAATATTATTTCATTTGATCCATGCCTCCTACCCACACACAGATATACACAAAGTATATTCTGAAAGTCAGAAAACATGATTCTAGAGTTACAAGCATACAAAGAAAAAACATCTCATGGAAAAAGAATTCAACAAAGTTTTTTTTGTTAACAGAACACGGCACTCATCCTAGAGAAATATCACAACCGATTTTTTTATAATCCAGCATATTAAAAAAGCAGATCCAATTAGCATGATTTAGTTGTCTGGAAAACAAAGGAACTCAACTTCATTCATCCTCCCCCACTTATGCATCAGTAAGGCAAGGGGAAAAATATAACAGTAGCCATTCAAAAGCAACTATCTTTGGGGTTATTCCACATCAGACTCTGGTTTCTATGTTTCTGAAAACGGAAAAAACAAGTCATCTGTTCCTACCCAGGCCACTGAAGAAACAGTAATATTCTTAAAACAGAATTCCAGAAAGTATATCAAAGATAATTTACAGTCAGTGTTGCCTTTTCATAGCATGAAATATGTAAATACTGTGGCACTCTGCTTGTGGGCAGTGTCATGATCACTTTATTTGCTACATATACCAAAACCCACCTCTTTACTGAAACTTTAATACAGTGATAAAAACTATCAACTGCAAACTACTAAATACATTTTGTGAGCCATTAACCAAAAGAGAAGTAAGAGACTCACATTACTAAAACTTCCATTAGGTCACTCTATTTAAACTATAGTAGCCAAAAAAGGAAAACCTGTATTTTGTATTAAGTCTTTTAAGATGCAAATTAGATCTTGAGACAAAGATCTTTTTTCAAAAAAATAAACAAACATTTTTGAAAGTCAGGTAGGCAATTCTTTCATTTAGCTCTTCAAAAAAGTATTAATATTCTCATATTTTATTTAATCCCTGGTTAAAAGGCATTTAGATAGTTTTGTGGTTGAAAACATCTAGATTAGATAGTGTGCAACCAAACTAATTAAAGCAGTGAAAGCTAACCATAATTTTTTTGTCTCTGGACTGACTTCATATATGCATAACTACATTTTAAAAAATTTACAGTGTACCTGATGCTCAAATGAGTAAGAAACAGATTTCACATAAATTCTACTTATGTCACACAGAAAGGAGAAATTAAAATGTCTATTGTCTATATCCCTACAGATTCCAGTCATCAAGAAACACTGCCTCATTAATTCAAATTGCAAAATTACAAGTCTACACTACAAATCATGTACGGCACAAGCTAAGTCTTTATGTATGCATTCATACGTAGTTAAGATAACCACAATATTTTTCCTCCTTTTCTGAGAGCAATCTCTTTAAAACTGTATAGAAAAGCATTTTTCTCTGTTGGTGCTATATTTTAGTCACAAATTATGGGCTTTCACAAGATAAAAAAATGAAACTTTACTCTGATATTGATTCAAAGGGATTAATGAGTTTCTTGTTTTCTAAAGGAGTGCAAAAAATGACTGAGGTATAAGTTCAGATACAAACATTCACCGTCATGTAATCATCATGCTGTAGCAGATACTGCTATACAATATGCATGTCTAACCTCCTTTTTCTTCAGCATCTCCAGAAACAGAGGTTTAGTTAGGTTTTAAAACAGGACCATCTCATATATTCACATTAAACACTAGCTCTCCACACAAAGCAACAAACAGAAAATTCAGAAGCCAAATTTCAAGGTCTGATAACTTTAAAAAAAAAAATTTTATCCTGGGTATACACATATGAACACACCAAGAGCCATGAGGCAGGATTTATCCCAACTGTTTTTAAATACACAGTCACTCAAACAACTAAGCCCATTTCTCATACACGTCCATTAAAGATTTTGCTTTGAGGTCATTATTTTCCTACCTGAGCAAGCACACCAGAGGGGAGGGAGGAAAGAAGAAAAAAGATGCAAGACAATGAATGTAGTGATAAAATACATATACGTATATATATGTATATATGTATGTATGTATGTACGTATGTATGTCTGAAGAGTCTCCAGCATTACTATTCAATTACTTTTTTCTTTCTTTCAGTTCAGAGCACCCCAGGTCTTGGCTCCCACTCGCTAGCTAATAATAATGATGATAATAGCGATTTTTTTTTTAACCATCAAGGGTTGGGCACCAGGAGGCATACCCAAAGGAGGCAGCCCTAGATGCCTACGACTCCCTTCACAAGAAAAACACACCCAAAATTTACAATCTCGAGCTTCCACGGGAGGGCTGTCTTCGCGGGGTTGGGGGTGGGGAATTGGGTAATTTTGTGTGTGTGTGTGTGTGTGTGTGTGTGTGTGTGTGTGTGTGTTTTGGAAAGAGAGCCTTGCTTTTGGGGGGGAGGAAAGATCCTCACCTGCCCACCTCCTCGGCCCCAAGGGGGCTGCCCCTGACAGGCTGGGCCCCCGGCCCGCCGTGCACCCTCCGCGGCGACGGCCGCTGGCTCCCCTCGCTCCCCAGCTCCCAGAAGCTGTCCCGGGAAGACTCCCTAGGCCCGGCCCGGACCGCTGTCAGACCCAGCCCCCGCCGCCGGGAGCGGCTTTCCGCCCCGCAGAGCAGCGGCCGGGCCCGCACCGAGTCTCCCCGGGCCCGGGCGCCCAGCAAAGCAGCGGCGGCGGCGCCTCCTCCGGGGCCCTCCGTGCCGAGCCCTGCTTGCCCTCTCAGCTCCAGGCCTCACCCCTTCCCTCAAGTTAAGACCCCCGGGCCCCGGCTCGGGCTCCGGGCTGTGGGCACGACGTACCCCCCGCCATTTCGCTGGCGGAGGGGACGTCCCACCCCCCCCCGGCCCCCCCCCCCCCCGCCCGAGCGCTCCCTGGTTACCGTCAAGAGCCCGGACTCCGCCATCCTCCTCCTTCCTCCTCCTCCTCTACAGAAGCGGCGCTACCCAACCGCCGCCCCCCCCCCCCCCCCCCCCCCCCCCCCCCCCCCCCCCCCCCC